GGGTGATTACCTCTGGTTCTGCCTCTTCCTCGTTCTCCTGGTGGCCCCACTTTTTCCTTGTCCTTTGTTAAGTGAACAGATTTCTTTGTGTATTTCCTCTTTTGTATAGAGGCAACTGATACTGGCACAGGTTTGCTGTCTGGTTTATCTGTGCTGCTTTTCACTGAGGTTTGAGTAACCTGAGCAGGTGCTGAGGTTGAAGTAACTGTAGTGGTGGCTGTTGCAGGGGTTGAGGTGGCTGCATTATCAGTTGCGGGTGGTGGAGTGGTAGCACGACACTGACATCTGCGCTGAACACCCACAGCAGATCTAAACAACATCACAACCTGACACACGTTCAGCAACAGGGTGGTGGTAGTTTGAGCATCCCAAGGGTATTCAGAATTCTCAAGAGTTTTTATAAATGATTCAGGGAGGAGGGGAGAGAATTGGAAAGAAAAGGGTAAGGAAAATCCCAGGTTGAGATAAAAACTATTTATTAATTAAAATAAAATTATAAGATAATAACAGTAATAACAGACTATACAATTAAGTTATGCACAAAAATGAGAGCTCTTGTGAATTTGCAATGAAGAGGTGACATACGCAGTGAAGGAAGTATCATGTATCTGCAGGATGTATACTTATGTATTGCTTCAAATCCAGCTTCAACTCTTGTAGCCACCTCTGCTAACCTACTGTGCAGAGTTCTTGTCAGTGTTCTCAATTTGCTTTTGTTACACAGATCCATAAAACTGCTACAGTAACTTTTCTTTTCTGAAGTAAACTGTTTATGCTAATAGGACTGTATGTGTTGTTGGAGGATCAGCGTATACATACCTTGGAAGCAGTAAATAAATGAAGAGGGCTTAAGACAAGCTGCCAGAAGCTTTGGATGTTTTTCAGGGGACAGAGGTTGTCTGAGGCACAAAGGTGTCAAGCTGATTCCACTGATACTTAGGTCATCCTCTTCATTGACTTGCTAATGTGACCTGTTTTGTATTGCAGATAACTGAAGTTTGACAAAATGCTCTCATGTGACACAGCAATTCCAACTGATAGCAAGTGAAAAGGGAGAATAGTTTTTAGGGTGTGAGGTCATGGTTTGGAAGGTCCAGGTTCAGTGACTTGACCAGTCGTTTAAAGCTTCTGTGGTCTAAACCCTCTGAAAAATGCAGGTAAAGTAGACATTTCCTGACAGCTCTGCTGCTTAAGCAAAAGAGACTTAGCTGTAGTTTTACATTACTCATTACCCATCTTCAAATGAACTTCATCCAATTTCATTAAGGCTTAACAAGTGGGAGGAGTAAGTGCTCCAGTTTATTTACAGCAATTAAATCTAAAATCTGTTATACTGCAACTCAGTATTTATTTTCATACAGTACAGAACCTGTGGAGGAAGAAATGCCATTACCATGAAACATGGAGATTTCTGAAGGTTTACTAAGCCAGCATGGCGAGGTGTTGAAGGTAGCTTGGAGTGCAGTGTTTTGCCAAATTCTGTTTTTGAGAGTTCAGGGACAGAGCTTGTGATTCTATTTGTGTAATAGAAGTAGAGGATATATCAGTCTTTCGGGAGGAGTATCTTTATTAAATAACATTGTCTAATGACACAAGATTGACTATAAATATTCTTAATAGTAACACAACACCATTTTAATATGTGTATACTAGCCCTCATCCAGTCATTAAACTTAAATTGGATTCTAGTTTGGGTATCTGTTACGGTTGTCTGATGCAGGCTTTTTTTTTTTTTTTTAAATCTCAGTTGGTGGTGCCATGCCATTGCTTTCTAAAGAACCTGCTGCAGCCACAAAAAATCACCGGCTAAACCAAGGAAAGATGCCTCATAACCCTTTGGATTCCAGCGCTCCTTTGGTAAAGAAAGGGAAACAGAGAGAAGTCCCTAAAGCCAAGAGACCAACACCTCTTAAAAAGGTGCTTATATTTTTTTACCTTAAATAGTACAACATAGGCTAATATAACTTCAGAATTATTCTGTGAGTCTGTTAAACCTTCTGGCATGGACATCTGCATCTAAGTGTCCACTTGTCTAAATTCAATTTTAGCTTTCCTTGTTTTAAAAAAGGTGAGTGGGGTGGGGGGCAGGAAAGAAGAGAACAGTCTTGCTGAATAGCGTATATAAATTCCCCCAAAATATATTTTCTCACTTCAATCACTTGATAGCTGAAGAACTGTCACTACAAAAGTGTCCACACATCATTGGTATGGGGGGGACATACAAAGAAATCTTGCCTGGTTTGGACAAGTTATGCTTATTTGCAGGACTGGGGAGAATGGATCAAACAGGGGTAGTATTAAATATTTCTATGCTCTTCCAACCCAGAACTTCAGCTGATTCTGCAGCAACTAGTGTTAGATCCACCAAGCAATTTCTCTTGTATCTTCCCTCTTTGCCCATTCATGTTGCTTCCTCTCCTGTTTTCTGTGCAGAGCATTTTGAGATACCACTCCATTGCTAGGTCACTTTTTGGTATAGAACAAATCTTATGGAGCTAGTGAAGGTAGTTTAGTGGTCATTGTATACTGCTTAATTGAATTTGAGAGCTGTACAATATGAAAAACATATAAAATATAACAAACGCTGGGAGGTGATACTAATTACTGTGTCCTGTGGCTGTTCTATCTTCATGACATGTTTTCCAAAGCAGGTTTGAAAAGACAGAAATTGCTTTGTCTGTGTAACAGCTGTGTTCCGAGTGTGGTAGGGAGGTTTTTTTGTTCTTTTTCATCTTTGACAAACGGAAATGGAGAAATTTTTTTTTTTTTTGCAATTAGATTGTGTGGTGTGATTAATTACAACTTTGGGGTAGATTAGCCGAGCTAGTGGTCATATATACAATAACTGCTGCTTAATAGCTATGAAAACAGAGAAGGAGGATGAGTTTCAGGAAACTATTACTTTCAGCTGTGGTAGCATGTTTGGATCCAGCATATGTCCTACTTTCCTTCCTTCTGTGTACCATACAGCTTAGCTACCCATGGTAATCTCTTCTCTTTTTCTACAACCAGGATATTCAGAGATAGCTATCTCTTAGAGTGACTCAAGATTTTTAACAGGGAAATAAAGGGGAAGAGTAACTGTGTGTGCATATATATATATATATACACACACACACACGTGTGTGTGTGTGTGTACTTGAGTGTTTGAATTGCTACAAATTGACAGTCTGAGGAAGAAAGGTGAAGAGGGAGACTTTTTCGCCTGCTTCTCTGCATTGAAGCAATTCTTTCCTTTAACTGTAGTTCTGCCCTTATAGTTGATCCCTAGTAATTATTTTCTCCACCCAGGCCCTGGTAATCAAGGAAAAAGTCATTTTCTCTTTAGATTTAGGGAATATCTTTCATTCTTTTTATGTGCAAATTCAAGAAAAATCTCAAATGTTTTTAACTTCGAATGATGGTGGCAAACTTCTTTATGAATGGTCTGTATGTAAACACTTGGTAAGAGAAACTGCTTTGTTATGTATGTGACATTGAATTCATTTGGGATTTATATATATATTTATTTTTTTTAAGATTATTCTGAAAGAAAGAGAACAACGAAAACAGCAACACCTCTTAGAACAGACAGCAGTACCAAAAGATGAAGGTAATATTTGTCAGTCTGCAGAAAATATTACTGAAGATGAAACACTTCTACAGGATAGTCAAGCAGGTATCTTTCAAGAGAAGGCTATAATACAGTATATAGATGGAGATTTGAGAGTGAGCACGCTTAGTATTTTCAAAAATGTGCACCAAATACTGCCAAATGAAAAGTATAACTTCATAATTTTCTGAAATTCAGCTTGGTCTTATCTAGAATTTAAAGTGTGCCAAAGCTGATAGTCAATATAGTTGAGTAATTTGGATTCTGATGACTGTTCCACACTTCTACGCCTGTTGGATTTATTATGTGAGAGCCCCTGAATCTCTCTGGCAATCTGTTTAAAAAGAGTTACAATAGTAAAAACTAAGTGAGAAAAAAAATGTATGACCTTCTTCCCCTACTACCAGAGATTTTTGTAATACTGAAGTAATGACTTTTCAAGAGATACTTGACAAGTTAGTCTCTTCACAATGGTTTTTTGGTCTGTCTTTTCATTGAACTGTCTTTATTTACGTGATAGCTGTTCACGTAACGCAAGTTGCTGAAGAGTTTGTGGAGAACACAGGGATTAAGGAATCTACAGAAGGTTCCATGACTTCAAAGCAGCTGACCTCCAATCTTCCAAAAATCCATAGTAGGAATTTTCGAGAGTAAGTATTGATTTGAATTGATGTCTGTTTTCCCACAGTACCACCGATAAGGCATTTTTCAAACAAGGTCCTTCAGTTACATTCTGTGCAATAGTAATTGGAGTTTAGTCTGAAGTTGCTAATTTTTTTTTCAGTTTTTCTCTAAGGTGACACATAAACGAAGAAATTGTATCCAGATAAATACTCTGTACATTGTTGTAATTTTTACTTCAAAATGCGTGTTTCTTGAAGAAAAAAAAAATGTAAATCAGAAATTCATTACAGTCTAAGGAAGGAAAAGGAGCTGCTGTTGAAGTATATATACCTTATTTTAAATACATGGAGTACCAAACAAAATGGCAAAAATGTAAAGACTGTGACTAGCCAGATGACATTTTCATGTTGTGGCTAAGCAGAGAAATAAAGGGAAGATTTTAGGGTTATTATGTGCACAGACATCTAGTTTTGTTTAAACAGATGTGTATACATGTTTCCTTATAAAAGAAGAAATAGTCATTACTATATTTGAAGAGGTCAGAGATCCAGTCATAAGTGTTAAACATTTACTTTAGGTAAGCAGTGTTTTAACTTTCAGTTTTCCTTCCATAAAGGCACCACTGGCCATTTTGCAGTTCATGTTACAGTAAAAGTTAATACTGATTCAGCCATTCTTTACCTTCCTGATGCCATGTGTTAGCTGTAATTTAACTTTTAATAACATTAAAATTACTTAATTTGTGTCCATGCAGCACTTTACTGAAGGCACAGTTTGGGTTGAATGTGTACAGGGCAACAAAGTTCTACCTATTATAGGACGTAGAGCATTCAGCAAAGCTTAGAATATTTTGTGTCTTTAGATTAGATTTCCAGTGGTTTAGTAGAGTTGGTTTTGAGACTTAGTGAAATCAACTGGAAGTAGTAAATAAAAACTCTTGTAACTTAAATAAAATAATTGTATCTCTACGACCCAGGATAGATCTTGTGAAGACAGATCTATGGAAGAGATAGATCTATGGTAGAGCTATGGATGTCATCTATCTGGACTTCTGTAAGTCCCCCACAACATCTTTCTCTCTGAATTTGAGAGATACGGATTTGATGGGTGGACTGTTCAGTGGATGAGGAATTGGTTGGATGGTCACATCCAGAGGGTAGTAGTCAACATCTCAATGTCCAGATGGAGATCAATGATGAGTGGTGTCCCTCAGGGGTCCCTATTGGGACCAGTACTGTATCTTCATCAGTGGCATAGACAGTGGGATTGAGTACACCCTCAGCAAGTTTGCAGATGACACCAAGATGAGTGGTGCAGTTGATATGCCTGAGGGATGGGCTGCCATCCAGAGGGACCTGGACAAGCTTGCAAAGTAGGCCTGTGTGAAGCTCATGAGGTTTCAACAAGGCCAAGTGTAAAGTCATGCACCTGTGTCAGGGCAATCCCTGGTATCAATACAGGCTGGGGGATGAAGGCATTGAGAGCAGCCCTGCTGAGAAGGACTTGGGGGTATTAGTGAATGAAAAGCTGGATGTGCACCAGCAATGTGTGCTTGCAGCCCAGAAAGCCAGCTGTATCCTGGGCTGCATCAAAAGAAGTGTGGCCAGCAGGTCGAGGGAGGGGATTCTTCCCCACTGCTCACCTGGAGTTCTGTGTCCAGCTCTGGAGTTCTCAGTACGAGAAGGACATGGATCTGTTGGAGTGAGTCCAGAGGAGGTCCACCAAAATGATCAGAGGGATGGAATGCTTCTCCTGTGAAGAAAGTCGGAGACAGTTGGGCTTGTTCAGACTGGAGAAGAGAAGGCTCCAGGGAGACCACTTAATTGTGGCCTTTCAATACTTAAAGGGGGCCTATAAGAAAGATGAGGACAGACTTTCTTAGCAGGGCCTGTAGTGATAGGACAGGGGGTCATGGTTTTAAACTAAAAGAGAGTAGATTTAGACTAGATATAAAGAAGAAATCTTTTACAATGAGCATGGTGAAACACTGGAACAGATTGCTCAGAGAGGTTGTAAGAAGCCCCATCCCTGGAAGCATTGAAGGTCAGGTTGGGCTCTGAGCAACCTGATCTAGTTGAAGGTGTTCCTGCTCACTGCAGGGAGTTTGGACTAGATGACCTTTAAAGATGCCTTCCAACCCAAACCATTCTATGATTCTGTGATCTCTTCTCATAATCTTACGTGGATTTGCCACTTGGCATCTTTCTGTTGACTGTGCAGTTGAGGTATCTTCAGTTTTTCTTTGAGACCCTTCTTTACTGAATGATTCTTTGTGTAAACAATGGGGAAAAACAATTTGGAACCCTGATCTTTCCCAGGCAATACTAGAAGGGTGAAATACATCCGTTTTTATCTTTTCCTTATGGTCAACATAAGGCTGTAATCTGATAAGTGAAATAGGATGACAGATAAAAAAATATTAATCTGAGGAGGATTTTGATCCAAATTTCCATCTTTTTATAAGTAGCCTTATATTTATAGAAAGAAATTAGCATTTTATACTTTGGTTGCTGTACTTTGATTTATATAAGTCAGAATAAGTGCCCTCGGAAAAATGCTTCAACAGCAAAACGTGTATATGTATTTATTGGTGTAATATAATAGGTTTATTGTACATGTGTGTATGTATTTTTAGTATAGTTTGATAGGGGAGCCAGATACCACAAGTAACAAAACTTTCTGTAACTTCTCAGCCACTGAAAAAATCTTAAGTGAATTTTTTGTTTTATGTATATAACAAGCGCATTTGGAGTGGAAATAGAAAAAAAGATAAAGGTGTAGAACAGAAGGTGTATTTTTATATTTTACATATTTATGTAACATATTTGTAAATGTAGGGTTTTAACATTTAATGGATTCTTTCTTCCAGTTACTGCAGCCAGGTACTCAGTAAAGAAGTTGACAGTTGTGTGACAGATCTCTTAAAAGAACTGGTTCGTTTCCAAGATCGCTTGTATCAGAAAGACCCAGTAAAGGCCAAGATAAAACGCAGGCTTGTTATGGGTCTTAGAGAAGTTTTGAAACATCTGAAGCTGAAAAAACTGAAGTGTGTCATCATATCTCCTAACTGTGAAAAGATTCAGTCAAAGGGTAAGTTTAAAAAAAAAAAAGTTTGTTTAATAAAAGAAACGTAAAAAAAAAAGCAGACTCAGAATACTGGCAGCAGTATTATTATTGGGGGAACTAATTTGAGAAGCCTTTGAAATGAAGTCATATAAAGATGCCTTCCTTCTTCAGATTGTTTACTGCTGTGCAGCTGAAGTGTGAGCTGAGTCAAAACTATCTGGGGTCGGGGAAGTTACCTGAAACTAGGAAGTGTTTAGTTATTGATTTGCAGTGCAGCTGCACAAAAGATTTTAGTGGCACAACTGAGAAGAGACAAAGGTTGCTGGTGCCAGCTGTGCCACCACATGAAGTCCTGCTGTATTAATCTCTTCTAGGCCACAGATTGATGATGAAATTGTCAGTGAGCGTTTGTTTAACATTTGTTGGCATTGTTGTCATTACATTCTATTAACTTTTAAATAATTTCTTAGCAGCTGGGTCTTTTTTTAAAATGCCAAGTAAGACTATACTACACATATAACAAAATACAGAATAAGATACTGAGGAAATTGCTAATTAAGAAAAAAAAGTCAAATTCTCCTTTAAAAACTGAGATCTAACGCTTTTATTGAGATCCACGTATTTTTTCCTATAAACTCTTGTAATTTCAAAATGCACCCATAATCTTGGGATTTTTTTTTGCTATCTTTTAACACTACTGTCCTTTAGTTATAATCAGCTTGAATAGTGTGATTCTTTACCATTTCTGCTCTCTGCTCCAGGTGGGTTGGATGAGACTCTACACAACATTATCGACTGTGCCTGTGAGCAGAATATCCCGTTTGTTTTTGCCCTTAATCGCAAGGCCCTAGGCCGCTGCGTGAACAAAGCAGTGCCTGTGAGTGTGGTGGGAATTTTTAGCTACGATGGGGCTCAGGTAAGCTGAAATACATAGGTTCATGATTTTCTTTAGCTTTACTTTTTACCTGTAAGGGAAAAAATACTCCAACTTTAAGGTTTTGTTTGTTTGTTTTGCTTTTACACACTTACTTACACTCTTTATCCTAGGTCAGTTGCTTATATGAAAAATATATTTTAGAAGTACAGCCACTCAGCACTGTTCAAAATAGTAGTTTGCCCATCTCTTCCTGACATCCTCTCCATCTAGATCTCTTTCTGAATTTTTTTTTCAAGAGAATCAGTGTTTTTATAAGTGGTTTGGTTTTTGTGTCTTTATACATACTTAGCTGCTCAACTTTTATGTATGAACGTACATGTTCTGACTAAGGAATATTCGTTACAGATTTTCATAGGAGATGTTAGAACTTACTGTATGATTTAAGCTCTACTAATATTTTCTATTTCCATAGGACCATTTTCATAGAATGGTACAACTGACAACAGAGGCCAGGAAGGCCTACAAAGATATGATAGCAGCTTTAGAGGAAGAAGCTGAAGGAGGACTAAGAGAAACCCAACCTGGCGTCTTAACCACTGAATGTGAAAAATACGGCGTATCAGAAACTGGTAAAACATCTTCCAAGGACCCTGATGAGGATGTACCAAATTATAGTGAGTATTTACTAATTGAGTTTTGATTCAGTTTTCATTCAAAGTGCTCTTCAATTCTACTATTTTCACTGAAACAAATGACACGTGACAGTTTAGTGGTTAGTAAGGGGAGGAAGTTCTGCTTTTCTTTTATTTCCCTGCCCCACTGATTTTATAAACCTGAGGTCAGCTCTTGTTGAGAAAGTCTTACAGAAAATTCCTCTCTGAAATCCACTGATGGCAGGTGGTACTTATTGCTTTGTCCAAGGAGGTTTAACAGAGCTCCTTAATAATTCTATCTATTAAAAAATTCTCTAAGCTTTTTTTCTGGAAGCGCATACTCTGTTTCTGTGGTGGACTTAAGTTTTGCATTGAAGCCTGTTTGAGATGCATCTTCCTGTCCAAAAGTATTCATGTTTTGTAAAGGCCTTCCACTTCTAGAAACACATTTCTCCAGCTCTGCTGATATCACCAGACAACGACAGTTACCACATACACCAGGCAACTTAAAACTTCTTTTAAAGTTTTGAAAACAGAATTCTGAGTTTTATTAAGGTTGTATCCACCCTGCTTGAGTAGGGACTGGACACAAGCACCTCAATAGCACCTCAGTTGATCCTGTCACTCCTAAAATATTCTTTCATTCGTCATCTCATGTCGTGTGGTGTACGTGCCAACGTGCCCGTGTGCCAACTTATCTCAGCACTTCGAGGAGGAAGTAGAGAATCAGTGTGACTTTTCATTTTAAGTTTTTCGTCAAGTATTACGTAGTAACTGGTTTTGTTTGGGTTTTTTTAAATTATTTTATTCTTTTTTTTTATTCTAATATTCCCTAGTTGAAATCTGGAAGAGAAAACTTGAAGAAGAGTATAACCCATATGCACTGGAACTGGAAAAGAGTGCAACTGCGGACATGGTGATAGTGAATTTGGAGGAGCATCAGTAAATCCAGATTCAATTCTATTGGCCTTTTTTTTTTTTTTTTTTAAAGACCCTTAGGAAGAGAGTAGCAATGTAAAATAATTTAAGAAATATCTGAAGTCAGCCAAGTAAACTGTTCTGAATCCCTTTAAGCAAAATACACACTGGAGCACATGAGGCACTGGCTAATACTTTTGCATTCTATGTATTTGACTGATTAATATAGCAGATGACAACAGCAAATTGTCTTAGCCCTGAACCACTTGAACATTCTTCAGTGGTTTAATGGGTTAGCATTGATTTGTTAGTGATGCAGTGTACCAAAAGAACTTGCTAGAATTATAATTTTATTTGGGAAGAGATTCTATGAGCCAGAAGGTTGGGGCTTGTGGGGATTTGCTTTTTATTTTTAACTCTTCTTTAAAGAACTTCAGCTTTTTTTTGATTGTGAGTTTAGTTTTGTTTTTTTTTTTTTTCTTCAAGATAAACCTTCTCAGGTGGGCAGGCTAGCATTTATGTCACTTTCTTCCAGTCAGCAAGCAATTAATTCTGGGCCAGCAGCTTGTCTGAAACTAATTGAGGGAGACCGTGGTAACAAAGATCCCAGTTAGCTCTTCTGTGTGATATTTTTTCCTCCTGGGCTCATAGCACAGGCGTAAAGGAGAGAGCATGGATTACAAAGGTCTGAAATTCCTGAAGTGAAAATGCTCTGTTTGGAAATTTTGTAAAGCTGATGAAGTATACAATGATGATGTTTCTGCTGCTACTAGTTTATCATAGGTCCTGCTTTGAAGTTAGAGGATTTTGAAGGACAGTGAATGTGCAAGCCTGCTATCCTATCTGTACCTTCTCCATGCTGACAAACTCCTCATTCCTTCAGTTTGGGTTGTGTCAGTGTATATATGTAAGAGTTTTTGATCAGTCTCAGTTTGTACCTAAGGTAGGGAAGATTTATAGCTTACAGGAAATGAAATTTATATCTTATAGAAAATAAAATTTTAAAAACAAAATATGCTTATAATGGTAGTGGAGCAGCTTAGTGGGAGTGTAAATACAGTAGTTTACAAGTTGCAGGCATATGAGGACAAGCCTAAAGAAAGTAACTGGAGGATGCACATGAAACTCCTGTCAGCTGTTCTGAAAGATAACACGTGCTGCTGCTAGCATCTCTGAAGTGTGTCAGTAAGTGCTTCACCACATTGAACATTTGTAGGTAGCTGCCTTGTGAACTTAGAGGTGACATACATAAAAAAAACTATAATTTTAAAATTCATATGATTTTGTAGAATGTAAATTGTATAAAATCTGTTACAATATATTGATTCTATAAAGTATGGTTGTGACGTAAGTAAATTCTTCTGGTTGAGGAAGAGCATTGATAAGGGAAGCTGGCCTTAAGCTGAAATGCACAGCTGGTCCCTAGTTACGATGATGATCTCTTTGTATTGGTTTCTTCTAATCTTAAATGGAAATTGAGGGTGAAAGATCTCAGTTGTGAAAGATAGCTTTGGCCAGCAGCTATCCTTGATCCAGAAGTAAGTTGTGATTTATTTGTACTTGTGCCACTTTGATACACATCTAAAATTGCTAACCCTAGTCACTGCACGATGGAAAGCACATTAACAATTTGCTTTCCCCTTCCTCTCCTCCCCCAACTGTTATTTTACTGTAGAAAGTTATAGAAAGTTATTTGGGAAACATTATAGGTTGTTCAATATCTTAGGGAGTTATTTCCTGTTCTTAGAATGTAGCAAAAAAAAAAAATCACTATAAGGGGTCAGAGTTGTGTTCACACAAATGTTTTTTCACAAAGTTGAAGTAAACAAAAAATATATAATCTTTTTTTCCTACTTTGCTGCAGAGACAAGGCAAAGCTCAGCTATGCTTATCTAAAACTGATCTCAATCTTACAAAGCCTTACCATCCCACTCAGCACCACAGAACTAAAGTCTCCTCCAAATCTATTGAACGACTAGAGGAGGGACAATTCAAGAAAAGTCTTTTTATATTTGTCCCTTAGCCATAAAAGATGACATAAGAGAAACACAATGGGGGGGGGGGAGGGGGAACCAACCTACCTCTGAACATTGGTGTCAGAAGTCTGCATCAGCATTAATTTATGATTGCCAGTGTGAAAAATAAAGTGTTTGTGTAGTCTAGTATTGGGAGTGGGGGAAAGGGTCACTCATGAAAGTCTTAGAGGTAGGAGAATGCTTTCTTCAGTGTGGGAAACAATCTACTTTAAATCTTTCCACAGTTAGGGGATAACTGAGAGACAACGATGAAGCTTTCTGCTATTGCTAGGAGCAGCTGTCCCCCTGGACTCAAGCTACAGCAATTCTTAAGTGGCATCTTACTTGCTTCCACATTGTTGACAACCATTGTGAACACAGACAAGACAGAAAAGTAAAATTATGCCTTAGACTTTATTAGAAGAACAAAACTCTTAACAGCAATGCAGTAAAAACAGTTTCACTCTGGATTTAAGTAGGTCCTCATATCTTCAGTCTGCAGTTGTTCACTAGGAATTTGTAAACCTGATGCAAGTGTAGTCTTAGAATTCATTCAACAGAATTTTTTAAAGCTACCACATTTATCTCAAATATAGCAGAATAATTTGTGAAAACTGAAGAATCTGCTTTAACTTGGGTGCTTTGTAATCTGTCTTAATTTTGACCATTACTCAGAAGCTCTTTATTTGGTACAGAAACTTTATTACCAAAAGAAATGTCTTTGAAAAAATGAACTTGACACCAGAAAGGGATACTCTTCAGAACGCTGGGAACAGAGTATAAGGGTAAACACATTAAAAGAAAATAAATGGGTGAGTTGAAATGCCTTTAAATAAATATTATCTACATCTTCTTATTAATCTCTAAATCATATGCCAAGATCCTCAAGCCTAAAATTAACTTGTTTGCTTAATGAACTAAAACCAGAAGCCATACATCATATTTTATTGTTTGAGCAGCACAAGTCTTATTGAATAGCAAAAGTGGTCTCAGTAAATTGAAGTAACTGGCATCAGAAAATCAGAGCAGTTACATGCATCTCTCGTAGCATGTAACTTATTCTTTGGTGCAGTGAGGATATCCTCTTCCACCTCAAGCTTCAGGTGATTCTCCCGAATATCAATTGTAATGCCAGCACTAGCACTCACAAATACCTCTTCGAATGCTGTGATATTCAGAGTACTGGGTAATCTGACTTGCATACATCTCTCCTTCTAGCCTGTTCTTTCCATTGTCCATTAGAGGCTGTTTTTCTTGTTGCAGCTTTCCTGAAGAAGAAGTAGGTCAGAATTATGTGCTAATATTGCTCTTAAAATTAAAATAGGGGTTAGAGGTTACCTATACTAACTGTTCCACATGCAACAAGCATGTGTTGTATCCAAAAGTTATCACAAGTAATCTTTGTTTTAACTGCTGGAGAACAACATTAAAAGCTAAGAATGGCCTGTTTTTTTAAAAGGAAAGCAAGCTTTGATGGCCAGAACCATTTATGAAGTTCACTAATCTCTGCAATCCAGTTAGTCTACAAATGTCATGAAATTAATTTAGTATATTCAATATACACAGACTTACTGTTTTGGGCAGGATGAGAACTGACTGATTAGCACTTGGTTAATGGACTCAAGGAACAAGCTGACATAACCATAACATAGATGGAGCAGATTTTACAGCTGAGAGGGTGAAGAATAGTGATGTGTATAGGAACACTAATCATTTTGTTACATAAATACATTTGGTTGCAGAAGCATCATAGGCTATTTATAAAACTGGGACTGTAGTGCATCATGTAGAAAGCACTGTAGGAGGTACCTTTTCCAAAAATTCTTACCCACGTTTTCCTCCAGCTTTGCATCATCTTGTCATGTTCACTGATGGCACTTCTCCAGGTATCAAATTCTTTGGACCATCCATCCTGACCAGCCCTATCTGCGAATTGCACATGGGATGATTACTTAAGTATGTAATGATGAAGTAAGTTGCTGTCTATTCAGTTGCAGTACTTCCTGTGGAGAACTGGGCTAGAAAGAACAAAAGCCACCATCTTGCCCTTCATTTTGGTCTAACTCCTGTCATGTTATTTGGAAGTAAGTTTTATTCAAATGGTCAAACCTGTCTAAGCACAGGAATGTTCCAGTTAGTTAGATCATACTAAGCCTAGGGAGAAGAGTGATATGATACAGCTATGTCCAGTTTGTACTTTCCCATTTTTCGTTAGTGTTATGTAGTTATTCTTCATTCCATTGATAATTTAAGAAGCCATTTTACTGCACCTTCATAAAATTCTGGTTCTAATTCTGTCTGACAGTTTTTCTTGAAGAATGTAACACTGCTGGTGACACATACAGATGCAGTATTTTCTGTTTGTCCTGTGGGACACTATCTATAATGCTTTTGGAGCACAGTAAAAGCCTCCTCCCTACGTTTTACATTTAAAGTAGTCTCATTGAGATGATCTGTGTTCTGCTTCTGAGACAGACTTCACAGTAACTGTAGTGATGGCAAGACAATTTGTGTAACTCCTACTGCTTTTCTTGGTCACTGAAAAAAGAAGGGTTAGGCTGTTCTTGACAAATGAATGTTCATTAGTAACCAGCTAATTCAAAATAATTAACTTTTTCCTTCACCTTGCCAAGAAAATCTATACTGTATCATCTTCATTGCTCCTGCTGTCTTTTTAAAGACTATTCAGACCTTCCCCAGGCCTGGATAAGTTCTCAAAAGCTAATTGCAAATGATGCTCATGTTGCATCAGTCAGTTCTGGGTACTTGAAGATCTTCCACAGCTGCTGAAGTTTGCTAACTAACCTCCTGCCCTGTTAGTGTCCAAATTAAGAGGTAAGAACTGACCTCACCCAGCTACCGGTGATTTACAAGTCATCTGGGTTCTCTCTGCTATCTATATTTCCTTGGCATTAAATAATTTTTCTACATTACCCTGTAGAGTTCTGGCAGGGTACCTATTTTTAACTCTTCTAGTACTCATCTGACTTCCAGTCTGTGTCTGTTAGATTAG